TGACTTATCCTTGTCATGTTATTTCCCTGTTGTTGGCTCCCCCTCTTTTTTTCCTCTCCCTCTGTTTAATTGTTTGCTTTGCCTGGTAGGTTCCTTCTGCTGGGGGTTCATGGAGCTGTAGTCCTTGTTATCTCTTTCTGGAATGTCCTTCAAAACATTTTGGATTGTGTTTGGTGGTCATAAATTTGCTCAGCTGTTCTTTGTCATGGAAGTGTCTTATTTCTCCCTCAGTTTGAAAGGTAGTTTTGTGGGGTGCATCAGTCTGGGTTCAGAGTGAAATACTTCACTCTGAGCTCTCCTTGACTTGCAGGTTTGTGCTGAGAGGTCAGCTGTGATTGCGATGGACTTTCCTTTATAGCTGATCTGTTTCTTCTCCCTGACAGCTTGTAAGATTCTGTTCTTGAGTTGAATTTCTGGGCTCTTGACTATGATATGCCTGGCTGTAGATCTTTTTATCATGGCTAAGTGGCATTCTATACGCCTCACTTACTGTATGTCAAATTCTTTTTCCCTACCAGGGAAGTTTTCGGCCATGACATCTGTGAACAGTTTTTTTTTTATGTCATTTGTGCTATCTCCTGCTTTTCATTGATTCCAATCAATCTTGTTATTCTTCTTTGCATCAACTAGCAGCTGCTAGATTGATTCCTCATGGTCTCTTGCTGTTTTTAAGAAATCTTTCATTTCATGATCACTAACCACAAGCCTGTCTTTTATATCTGAGATCCTGTCCTCACAGTGGCTTAATCTGCTGTGGATACTTTCAATAGAAATTTTTATTCTCCTGGATAGCTGCTTGAATCTGTCCTATGGATTACTTTTCCTTCCTATGTTGAGCATTCATGGCTTCCATAAATTTCTTAAGCTCCTCTATTTTTTGGTGTGTATCTGCTCTAGAGTCACTAAGCCTGGTTTTCATTGTGGGCACCATCTCTGCAGTTATCTGAGAAATTATTTCTGATTTGATCTTTTCTAGAGCCTCAGTCAATTGCTTTGTTGTTCCTACTTCAGAGAGGCCAGGTGGGTGGCTTTGGGATTGTTCTACCTCATTTCCCTCTGGGTTGCCTTTGGTGAACTGGATGTCTGGGGTTGCATCTTCTTCAATTGTATTCTCATTTTCTTTTTTTAGTTTTAGTCCCAGAGTGATGCTTGTAAGTTGCCTATGGTGGGTTGCTTTGTTGCTCATATTTAGAACCCTTAGGAAATGATTACATCTCTGAAGTATCTTTCAGGTGTAGGCTGGTTTTTAGATTTTGAATCTGTTGCAAGATCCTATGTCTTCAATTTGTTGGGGATGAGAAGTTGCCTGTTTGGCCCAGTCCCTGGCTCTTTGGCACTGTGCCACAGTATTTTCTATGACCTTTAGTCAATCTCAGTCTTAGAATACCAAGAAGAATAACTGTTTAGAATAATTATGTCATTTCTGGCTAAAGTAGTGCCATCAGCAATAACAGTAGCAACAATCACATCCAAGAAAGTGACAGTTAATGATTAATTTGTCACCTTTAACTGTATGAACTAGATTTGTAGTTATATAACAAAATCTAAAACAAACCAGAAAGTTATATGCAGTGTATAAATCCTTAATATGTCAATTTTACCCTCAGAGTTTAAAATTTAAAAGGGGTTAGGGAAAAAGCAGAGAGGTGGAAGTGGAGGAAGAAATTAGATGTAAGCTGGAGGATAAAGGAGGATCATGCCAACTTTGGGAAACGTGCAGAAGACTGGACAGAAAGAGAGAAGGAAGCAATAAAAGAATAGAACAGAATAACAACCACAGCGAATCTAGAAACCACATTCCCACTCATATAAAAACAAGAGCAAACAATGAAGGACAAAAAAAACAGAAAACAAAAGCAAAACCACCACAACAAAAAACAGTACACTTCCTATTTTGTCTCTGCTGTCACTGTAGACAGCATGTGGAGACAGGATCCTGATCCATGTTGATCTATCCCAGCAAACCAGCAATAGCTTTTTGGTGGCAAAGTGGATAATCTCAGTTAGCCTGCCCCTTCTGGCTGAGATCAGACTCATTCGGCCTGCAGCTGTCAGCACACCTTCCATGGGCCCGAGCCCAGCTGGGAGCTGCTGGATGGAGCCAGCAGCCACTCTGAGTTCTGAGCTCGGCCAGCCCCTCTCCAAGATGGCTCCCAGCCAATTGCTGTCTCTCAAGGGATGACTGAGCCCTCAGCACTCACTGGCAGCTCATGCAGTCCTTCACATCCACTGCTCTCCACCACTGGATCTCTCTGTGGAGGCCTCTGGTGTCCCCAGCAGTCACTGTCTGTAGGTTTGAATCACTTCTGTCATGCAGTGAGTCCCATCTCAGGGAGAAGGGCCCTCCAGCTATCTCCTTCCTCTTCATTGAAGTTTTTCCCTTCACTCACTCCATGGGCTTCATTCAAGCCTGAGATCCTTCCTGGGTCCAGAGACCTACTTCCCTCCCTCTTATCTTCTTCACATTGCTATATTGCAGCATCTGGACAGTAACACTTAGAGAGGCTCTTTGCTGCTTACAGTGCTGCCATTTTGGTGCCTTCTCCATATTGTGCAAAGATTGAACCCAGGGCTTTTGCACTGAACTATGTTCCCAACCCTCTTTTTTTTTTTTATTCACTACATTGCCCACACTAGGATCGAACTTTCAGTCTTCGTGCCTCAGCACCCCAGAGTACTGTGATTACAGGTATATGCCACCACATTCAGTGGCCCTCTCAATCTTTAGATTGACCTATGTTTGTCTTTTCTCTTTATAGAAACTTCCAGGTTCTTCTCTCTCTGGTGTTTGAAATTACAGATGAAATTTTCTAGGGATGGATTTTCTTTTCTTTTTTTTTTTTTTTTTTTTTTGAGATAGGGTCTGTCTGCGTAGTTCAGGCTGGACTTAAACTCACCAGGTAGCCCAAGCTGGCCTCAAACTCATGGCAATCCTCGTGCCTCAGCCTCCCAAGTACTAGGATTACAGGCATAAGCCATCACGCCCAGCCTTTTTTCTTGAACTGATCCCTCTCAGGGGCCATATAACCCCTCACTCCCCAATGACATACTTCTCCCAAATGCTCCAGTGACCCCTACACTGCCTCCTCCTGGCCAGAAGCTTCTCACCAGTGTTAGGGTGGAAGGGGATGGATAGCCAGGGAGGCACACGCCAAGAAAAAGGAAAAAGGTTTTATTCTACAGGTTTTTTTGTTTGTTGTTGTTGTTTTGGTACTGTGAGTCGAACTGAAGGCCTCATACTTTCCAGGCAGGTGCTGTGCCCCTGAGCTATGTCCCTGGCCCTTATTCTACAGTTTTAACTTTACAATGAAAATAGCTTCTGTTTAGCTACATATCTGCTAACAAGAGATTTTTGTTTTGTTTTTAGACAGGGTCTAGCTGTGCAGTTCAGGCTGGCCTCAAACTCATCAGCCTCCCAAATGCTGAGATTACAGGTGTGCCCCACCACACTCAGCTTGGGTTTACTTTTTTTAACCTCGTATTTTCCATGACTCAAAATTCAAAAGGTAAAAAGTACATCAAGCAGCAGGTCTCCCCTGCCCCCCATTCCCTCGCTGGCCAGTTGTCCTTACTAGGGACACACAATATTACTAATTTCTTAGGGCTTCTTCCAGAGATGTCAAGGGTATTCTGAAAATTCAAGAAAAAAGCAACACCGTGTGTAAAACCTTTTTTTCCACATTAAACACCTAATAATCTAGGCTGTATTTTGCATCTAGATGTTTCATATAAGATTCCTCTAAATTCTGTATGAGTCTTTGATAAACGACCTTGTTCTTTGTTAGTTTCTCTGCAAGGGCATGGACTTTATATAGTTAGGCCCCAGTGATGGACATTTAGACTGTTTAGTGTTTTGCTTTCCAGTTTTTGTATGTGCACATATTGGTGGGATCAGTTACTAGTAAAGAAGTTTTGGGCCAGAAGCATCCAGTGTTCACAGCAGCACTATTCACAAGAGCCAGAAGGTAGAAATAAACCATGTCAGTCAGTAGAATGGACACACTGTGGTGTAGCCTGTGTGCTCAATGGAATATCATTCTGCCATCAAAAGGAACCAAGTACCAGTTTGTGTTAAAGCATGGATAAATCTCAAAAACAGTACGCTAAGAGAAAGCTGCCAGACATGGAAGGGCACACTTTGCATGCAATATCCAGAATAAGTAAATCTATAGAAACAGGAAGTAGAGTGGTGGCTGCCAGGGCACACTTGTGCACCCACCACCTGGACCCTGTGCTCATCCCTGGACTCATCTGAAGAGCTGTACTCACGCAGCTTTCTCATCTTTCTGCCAGAAACCAGATCCCAGAGGAGGTGGAGTCTTTTGACGCTCGCTGGCCCTCAGGCTCCTTGCCCAAGTCCCAGGATCTGAATGAAGCTGAGCCCAGCGTTCAAAACCCAGTACCCGAGGAGAACCCCTTTTCTGCTTAAAACTTCTTCCCTGAGCAGTGAGAGATGGATGGAAGAGACAAGGGCCACTGCTCAAGAAGCCTTCCCTCCTTCGTTATAATTTCTTGAGTAAAGGAAATTGAGGTTGTTGGGCAGTCATTACCATGCAACCGAATGCTTCACCTCTCCAAACCTCGGACTCTTCAACTGTAGGATGGAAACTGTGACACTCAGGGGCTGCCATCATGATTAATGTACCCAGTGTCTTAAAAGTGTGTGACACAAGCTAGGTGTACTGCCAAATGCCTATAATCCCAGCACTCGGGAGTCTGAGGCCAGACTAGGGTACATAGATCCTATCTCTAAAAATCAAAACAAAAAACGTATGTGCCATATAGCCTGGTACCAGGTGTCATGCAGACCACAAACTCCATCCTGTCTCAGAAACCCCAGCCCCGAAAGGCAGCTCCCGTTCCAATCTTCCTATCCAAAGTCCCTGGGCAGGGACTGACCGGACGCTGCCTCGGCTGGTAGCGGCATGCACGTGCTCACGCCAGGCTAGGAAGTTCTTCGGACTCTCAAAGTTCTGGCCTTCCTTCAACCTCTAGGCCTTTACACATGTAATTTCCTCGTGGCAGAACTTTCTCTCTGCTCAGCTGGTTACCCCGTTCTGTCCCGGCAAAAAATTTCCCTTCGCCTCCCTCAAACAGCCGCTCATATTCTCTGCGTAGAGATACCGTTCATCTGCTGGCTGCCTGGCAGGGCAGTGTGAGCTCCACCCCACTCCTAAGATGCCCAGATCCCAGCGAAAGGAGGTCGGGAAACACCCCTGAGGAACCCCCACCCCCACCCCGCACAAGCACGCGCGCCCACCCGCGCCCAAGACCCCTTCCTGTTCCGCACTGGGTAAGTGCAGCTCCGCCCCTGCGCGCAAACCTAGCAGGCTCGCACAGCCTCGCGCCTGCCGTACCCACAGACCACCCGGATCGGGGTGTTCCGATGCCCACGCCGTGCGCCCCAGCCCCTCCAGCTGCACGCAGGACTTTTTCCCAGCCGCAGAGCGTGCAGGACCCAGCAGCCAGCCACAAACCCTTCGGACCGCCCCCCCCAAGAGCCCACTGCGCACGCGCCGCCCGAGC